GAGAACTAGAATTAAAATTTTGGGTTGATGACCTTGTCGTAAGGAGGATGTTTTTAAATAAACAGAGCACCTCATAAGGACGTAAACCGGGATGGACCTACAAGCACCATAGGTTTCCCTACACCCAAAGCCAGCAGCCAGTTTGAGAAGGCAGCTCACTGTCACCTTCTCTGGGGCAATGAGGCTTGGACAATAAATACTGCCCCCACCAGTCATGCCCACATCGCAGGAAGATTTTTATTTCTCTAGATGGGGTAATGGATAGGATTGAAGTAATACAATTTAGGAAGGAAAATGTGTAATGGGAGTACAAACGGGTTTGGAAGGAAAATTATTGGTGTATTTCTTGAAAATAAGGGAAGAAATATTGAAAGCCATATAATGGGCCTTCAAGCTTTGGGATTTTAAGATAGGAGATTGGATTACAAAAAAAAAGGGAAAGAGGTTACAATAGTTTGTTGGCGTATAACATGTGCAACTTTGGAAACCTCAGACCTAAAAGTGGAACAGCTTGTTGCCATCAGGGTCTGTGTTGCCCAAGAAAACACTCTTTGCTTGAAGTACCAAAAGGCTGGTAGAACTTGCAGATTTGTGCCCAGGTCCAAACAAACGAGATGGGAAAGTAAATTGAAAGTGGAGGAATACAGGTAAAAGAACAAGAAACTAACATGAACTGTAATAATCCCTAAATTCCAATATCATAGAATTGCAACAGTATGGAAACGGGCTATTCAGCCCAACAAGTCCATACCAACTCTCCAAACAGCATCCCACCCAGTCTCCTCCCCCTACCCTCTCCCTGTAACCCTGCATTTCCCATGGCTAATCCACCTAACCTACATATCCATGGACACTATGGGCAATTTAAGCATGGCCAATCCACCTAACCTGCACGTCTTTGGACCGTGGGAGGAAACCGGAGCATCTGGAGGAAACCCACGCAGACACGGGGAGAATGTGCAAACTCCACACAGACAGTTGCCTGAGGCTGGAATTGAACCTGGGTCCCTGGCGCTGTGAGGCAGCAGTGTTGACCACTGAGCCACCGTGTCGCCACTAGTGCTGACAATAGTCACTTAATGTTTCTTACCCTCCACTTTTTTTATTACAGACCACCCCTTTTATTCTTCCCACTCCTCCTTTACCAGCTGTTGTATTCATTTAAAATCTGTTGCATCTTCAAACACTGAAACTTCAAATGCTTCTTTCTTCACTGAGGTCAGCTCAGTTGCTGACTGTTTCCAGCATTCCCAATTATTATTTGTGATAAAATCCAAACACACAGAATCAGTGACTTTTAAATAGATTGTTTTTGACTTTTAAAGGTCTTATGGCAATGTAGGAATAGACTGCAAAAGCAAGACTGCAGGAACACATCTTCCAGCTGGTTATGAGAAGGAGCCAAAGCCCATGGCAGGAAGCAGACGGCCCAGTCGGAACGAGAAGCAAAAACCACGAGAAGGTTACCGGCCTAGAAGCACCTCCAGCCTCAGTCAACTGACCAGCACTGGCCGACACAGCCATCGCTGTGCCAGTGATAACTCACCAGTGGGCAAAGCAGCTTCGGAACAACACGGCAAATCCTTCCCAAGAGTTCATGAAGCTATCAGCAGCAAACCAGCAACAGCAGGTCCGGAGTCCTTTCTAAACTACCAGCCAGAAGGAATTACTGCTGAAATAGCATCAAAGAAGAAGACTGTGCCACCTCAGAGGCCTCCAGCTCCTAAAATGAAATGGGTCAATTCAATTCATGACGACAACACAAAGCAGAGCCTATTTCCCCCTCACGTTGCTGGGTTAACCTTCAAACAGTCTGAACAGGGGCAGGGTCCTGGCACAGCCAGCAGCTGGACCTGGGAGTCCGAGGTACCACCAGCAAGACCACATTCACCACAGCCCAGCGGGCAATTATCATCTTCTCCACTGCGCCTCAAGTCATCTTCGTCGTCTTTTGCAGAGGAGGATGATGTGTTTATCCAAGATCTTGAACAGCAGGCCCTTATCACCCATTTCCACCCACCTCACCTTCCTCCTGTGCTACCACCTCCACCTCCACAGGATCCCACACCCTTTCCAAGGGTTAGAGACGAGGATTTTCCACCACCGCCTTCTCCCGTTAGTGTTGGCGATCAGGCGGAGGAGCTGTTTCACAGGAAGGAGGGCGGAGCTATGGCCAGGTAACTAACTAACTGCTACATTCTAATCCATCAGACACCGTCATGTGGATCGAGGCTTTATTTAAAAATAGACCTGGTCCACACCTGAATTGGTTTGCACTTTGTGTTTCACAATCCCAGCTTCAGACCCATGTGGATGTCTGAGGAGAGGTCTGACAGACTGGCCTAGAGTTTAGAAGAGGAAAGGGTGATTTGTTTGAACTGTGTGGGAGATCTTAAATGGTCTTGATAAAATGGGCACAGAAATGGTGTTTTCTGGGTAAGTCCCAAACGAAGGGACTCTGTTTTAAATTTAGGGGTCACCCCCTTTCATGGCAGCATCGAGGAGGATTTATTTTCCTGAGGGTTGTCTGGGTTTGGAACTCTGCCTCAGGTCATTGCTTTTGACTGGCTTTGATGTGATGGGCTGAAAGGCCTTTCTCTGTGCAGTAGATCTCTACGGCTGAGAAGCCAGCAAAGTCGAGTTACTTCATACTTTTACGATGGAGGGAAATAGTTTTTTTTGGGAATAAAGCCATATAGGGAGTAAGTGGGAATGAGGAATTCAAAACACAAGCAGAATCGCCATAATCGTTTTGAGTTGTGGTGCAGGATAGAGGGGCTGAAAGCTTGCCCATGTTGTCAGAACAGCTTTTGTAGGAGGCAGCTTCCCAGTGGCACCACTCTGCACTGTCTCTCCTTAAGCAGGTTCCTGAGCTTGGAACCAAACACTGAACCCACAGTGATGTCCGGCAGGCACACAATGGGCACTGCTGAGAGAAGTGGGTGAGTGTGGAGCCGCCTCAACATTGGGGCACCCTTGGTTGCCTGCATGGGATAGTGTTTAACCAGCCTGAAATCACGCCATTGGACTGAAGAGGGCAGACCCTTCCAGCACTGCTGCAAAGATGGTCCCGAAATGAACATAAAAACTGAAAGAACTGCAGATGCTGTAAATCCGAAACAAAAACAGAAGTTGCTGGAAAAGCTCAGCAGCTCCGGCAGCATCTGTGAAGAAAAAAAGTCACAGTTAATGTTTCGTGTCCAGTGACCCTTCCTCAGAACAGTTCTGAGGAAGGGTCACCAGACCCAAAACTTTAACTGTGATTTTTTTTCTTCACAGATGCTGTCAGACCTGCTGAGCTTTTCCAGCAACTTCTGTTTTTGTTCCTGAAGTGAACATATTGGCTGCTCACTCCACAAAGCAGGGAGTGACCCAGTTTGCAGTTCACCCTGGGAAGGGCTGTGCAGAAACCAAACTCTATTGGGAAGCCATCGTGATTGTGCCCTTGACCTCCAATCCCATTGCCACAGGGTGAGAGACATCCAACTCACATTTACTTTTTTAGCCATCCTCTTAAGACATAGCTATGTTTATGTTGAATTATGTTTTGTGTGGTTTGCATTTATTAGTTGGAAAGAATGTAACATGGAAAGAGTGCTATTGATGGGCAATGGGTACAGTATCTGTCACCTTCCTATGAGAATGGTGCAAATTGTAGCTGTCATTGCTGGCTGCAGAACTTTGTCCTGTGGCTGAGACGAGCTCTCTGTGTAGTAACAGTACATGCCAGCAATGCTGTTTTGTACAGTACACTGAGGAAATGCACTGGTAGCTGGCACTGGCAGCCATTTATATTGCTATTTCATCTTGAGGTAAAAGAAGCCACATTTAGGAACTTGTATAGAACCAATTAATCTTAAATAAGCTTACACAATGCCAGCAATGTTTCACAGGACAAATTACCCAGAATTGTTTATTCTTTACAGCAATTTAACAGAGGGCAAGAATTCCAAGCTTTTTGTGAATAGACAATAAAAGGATTAATAAATGGGCCTGATGTTGCACTGAGACTTGTTTTCCTTGCTGTTTTGCTACGCCGCTGTATGCTTGTCACTGCGTCCTCTTGCAAACAACAACAGAAGCCAGTCTAGACTCTCGCCCTCTCTTGCATTCAGAGAAATCAGCTGCAGTAATTAATCTTTGCTTTCTGATTTATGGTTGATTGGTTATTTGATATTTCAAATTGTTCTTACAATGCCGTCATCTTAATTGTTTTTAAGTCAGTCGATTTAAAAACAAAACTGAGAAGCATACTTTATTAACCCAGGTTTGAAGACATTGTGCATGAATCAAAGATACATATAGCATCATTTCATTTTTATGTATAATTGGTTTCCAGTATAATTACTAACTTTGAAACTAGAAGAGACGTGGGTGAAGTTGGATTAGAGGCAGACATTTGGACAAGTTAGAATGCTTCCTCACATTTGTCCAAGTGATGAGGGCAGAATCATGGTAATAACTGTTTTTGTCTCCCATCAGTAACCTGCTATCATTTACTGAGCACATTCATCCATGAGGGACCAATACCTCAGTGAGATATTGTGCAGCTGTGCCCTAATAAGAGCAAGTATCTTGAAGAAAAGATGAGAATAAGTTAGGTGGAAGAAAGAGAATCCACAATTGGGAACTTACCAAATTTGAGTTCAGAATTCAACGTACAAATTTTCAGGACATTTCTGGCCCTCAAATAATTTCAGTTCTTTCAGCCAAACATAACTCAGCATTAGGTCATGTATCTTTCATGGAATTGTATACACAAAATACTGTTTGAAATCCCAAATATGGAAGTACTCCCTGCAGTAATTAGTCCTCCAAATCTGTGCCACAGCTCCAGAGAATGCACACGTATTCTGAATGGAATGAATGACATTGCTGTAGCTCAGAAGCACCCACATCTGTACAAAATGGTGCTTCAGTGCCACTTGGTGGTCAATGTCAGAAGTACAGTTAGTTTTCAAATAATAAGACCTCCCTCATTTGAGGTGGCCATCAATGAACATCGATGAATAAATACACAGATAATTCATCTTTAATTACTACCAAGTGTATTTTGATGCCAGGATCATTGGCACTGCTATTTAATAGCCATTCCAGAGAACTTCCAAGATAATTTCAGCACAAGTCCACCGGAATGACCAGATATTAAGCCATGGCCCAAATAGTTGCAGATCCTAGCCTTGCTGCCAAGTTTCGGGGATGGCCTTGTGGGTGTGGAACTTCCATCCATCTCCTGCAAGGCCACTGACATAAGCGGACAGGAATACTAAGTGTAGAATTCCCATGTACAGGCCCTACAGAGGGACTGGGTACGGTAGATCCTGAAAAGATGTTTTCCCCTTGTGGGAGAGGCTAGAGCTTAGGGACACAGTTCAAAAATAAAGGGGCCTCCCATTTAAGGAAGAGATTAGGAGAATTTTTTCTTGGGGTTTTAAATCTTTGGAATTCTCTTCCCTAGAGAGCAGAATAAAATCCTCATAAATAAGGTTCAGTATAGAGTGGGTAACAATCTCATCTTTGTTGTCTGCTACCTGACAACGTGGTATCATTGTTCTGACAAGTGAAGTCCTACGGAGTACAGGTCTGTAAACTAGATGCAACTTAAGGCAAAATAGTATTTCCGAACAGTCAAACAAACCCTGAGAATGACAAGGTCTTCAGAATTGTATATTAGAGGCACTGCAAACCTCGCTTGAAGGAACATCTTAAGTTTTCAATTGTCTTGAAATCAATTTGCGTGCTTAACCATTGCCAAACTCTAAAGTAGATAATTATATGTGAATTGGTTTGAGGTATTTCTGAGATGTGATAAAATGATATTTATTTTCTATTTCATTTCTACATATGTTGTTGCTCATAAGTTTACTGCACATTATTCAGATATACTATTACATTTAAATTAATTGTTCCTAACATCAATAACATGTCAGACCCTGGGAAATGGACAAGCAAAAACTAGAATGCCCTCTAAAATGGGAATATAAACGTGAAATTTAATAAACTCTGACACTGGAGTGCATCTTTTTATTTATTAGGAATTTTATTCAGTCAGGAATGTGGGTGTTACTAGCTGGCCCAGCATTTATTGCCAGTTCCTAATCCAGTTCCTAACTGGAGAAGGCAGTGGTGAGTGCCCTTCTTAAACTGCTCTGGTCCAGTCAGTGTGGATACACCCAGAGAGCTGTTAGGGAGAGAGATCCAGGATGTGACAATGAAGGGACAACATGCGCTGTATAGTACTACTGTTTAACTCCAATTTTCTGCATTTAAAGGTTTCCAGACAAAGATGCCGCAAAGAACAAGTTTCCGGCAATGACCTATACAGAGAGAAGTGACCATACAAACCAGCCCTGCAGCTGCAATGTTTCTACAGTGAATGGTGAGCTGGGAAGTGCATCAATGATCACCCCAGCAGCCGCAGAACAGACCCACACAACCCAAATTGTGCAGCGCAGTAACCAGAGCTGGGATACTTCATTTGTTCAAACACAAAAGACTGCCACAAGCCAAGAACACTTGGACTGCGAACATTCTCCTACGTCACTGGAAGTAAATGAGAAGTCTCCCGAAGACCTCAAGTCCGAAGAACTTGCGAAGGAGATCATTGGCAAAGACAGGTCTTTGGCAGAGATTTTAGATCCAGACTCAAATATGAAGACAACCATGGACCTAATGGAGGGCATTTTCCCCAGAAGCAGCACAGTGAGGCAGCAGACACAACACAGAAAGCCAAGGTTACAAAAAGTCATTGACAAATCTGTATCAGAAGAAGAAAAGTAAGTTCCAAACCTCTGTAGTGGGCAGGTTCTTGTATCTGGAGCACAGCTATTAAATAAATGAGCAACGTTATTGCTGTTTGACAATACACGAGCGTATGTTGTACTACTACTATCTCCCATTGGTGCCAACAAAGAATATAAGTGCAGCCTCTGCCCATGACAAAACCCAGGGAATGACAGTGATAGCCAGTCCATTGATGATAAAATGTAAAGTCCAATTTTTCACTAGTGTTGTGTGCTAGATGGTAGGCATCTGGCACTATTTGCTAAGGGGAATATGGATATTCTACTGTTCTCAAAAAAGTACATTATTAAGAAAACTACATATAGCAATGATAATGGACAATTTGATTGGTTTACCCATAGAAACAACGCCCCAATTCTGCCACCAGCTCTTCCTCATCATTCATTATTTTATATTTTCCTTGAAAATAGCATTTCAAAGTAAGCAATACTACAGACATTTGATTGGGTTATTCTTGCTGCATGACTGCTCGCTCAGATCCTCCATCTTTCCAAAACCTCAGCACATCATTGAGGGCCATGTTAAAACAAACTAAATGCTAACCGTTGGGTGGCAATGCAACAAAGTTTGAATTGATTAAGAAGTAATTACTAAAACTGCTGTAATTTGCACTTCTGAAATCTTGCCTCAACTAGAAAGACAACCAAGATTAGCCAGAATAAAAACTGAAAGAACTGCGGATGCTGTAAATCAGGAACAAAAACGGAAGTTTGCTGGAAAAGCTCAGCAGGTCTGCCAGCATCTGTGAAGAAAAACATCAGAGTTAATGTTTTGGGTCCGGTGACCCTTCCTCAGACCCTTCTGAAGAAGGGTCACTGGACCCGAAACGTTAACTCTGATGTTTTTCTTCACAGATGCTGCCAAACCTGCTGAGCTTTTCCAGCAACTTCTGTTTTTGTTAACGAGAATAACATCAATTTGAAAGAAAAAACATCCAATGTGGCAAAGGTTAGTGGTAAGCCAGAGGTTTGGGCAAATTTTAGAAGCCTACAAAAGATGACCAACAGAATAATAGAGGGAGAACCTAACTCTGAGGGTACACTTGCAAGTAATATCAAGATGGAGAGTAAGAGTTCTTTTTTATATGTATATAAAAGAGGAAGAAAGAAGCTAAAGTGAGGAAACGTCCCTTAGAGAAAGAGATGGAGAAATAATAATAATGGGGAGCGAGTAAGTGCCAGAGAAATTGAGAAATATTTTGCATCAGTCTCCATAGTAGAAAATACAAATAGAACACAAAATAAGGGGCAAAAAGGGAAGAGGAAATAAATACAATAACTATCACTGGAGAAAAAGAGCTAGGGTAACTAATGGTCCCCAAATAAGTTCCCTGGACCTGATGGGATCCTTAGGATGGTTAAAGCAGTAACTACAAAGATACTGGATGAACTGGTAGCATTCCTCCAGGAATCTTCAGATTCTGGATAAGTCCCAGAGTGTTGAAAAAATGGTAGTGTAACACCTATATTAAAAAAACAAAAGAGACAAAGATCAGGTAACCAGAAGCCAGCTCGTTTAACATTTATTATTGGGAAAATGTTAGAATTACTTATAAAGGATGTAATAGCAGAATATTTAGAAATACATAATATGATCAAGCAGAGTCAGCATGGCTTCATGAAGGGAAATCCTACCTGACAAATTTATTAGAATTCTTTGAAAAAGTAACAAACAGCATCGATTGAAGGGGAAGCCATGGATGTAACATATTTGGATTTTCGAAAGGTGTTTGATAAGGTACCAGACATTAGCTTTCTTAATAAGATAAGAGTCTGTGGTGTAGGAGTTTGTATATTAGTGTGGCTAGAGGATTGGTTTGGATAGTTGAGGTAAGAGGAGCCTTTCAGAGTGGTGTCCTGTTACTCACGGACTGCCACGGCAGTCAACTTTTCTTCATAGACACGACTATTTACAATTTGTTAATGACTTAGATGAGGAAGGTGGATGACACAAAAATAGTTGGGAAGGCAAGTGGTGAGGATGACTTAAGAGTCAGCAGAGGAATATAGGCAGGTTAAGTGAGTCGGCAAAAACTTGGCGGATTGAACATAATGTGGGGAAAATGTGAGGTTATGCAGTTTGGCAAGAATAATATGAGAGCTGAATACTATTTAATGGAGAAAAACTGCAAAAAGACATTGCAAAGAGAGGTTTGAGAGTCCCCATGGATAAAGCACAAAATGCTCACATACAGGTTCAGCAGGGAAGAGGGAAGGCAAATGGAGCATTGACCTTTGACCTTTGCTTCAAAGGGAATCGGGCATAAAAATAGGCCTTGGTAGAACTATACAAGGCATTAGTCAGAGCACACAGTTGGAAATATCATAAACATTTTTAAAAATTACTTAGGCCCTTTATCTATCAAAAGATACTCTCGCATTAGAGACAGTCCAGAGAAGGTTTATTTGTCCATCCTGTGTACGGAGGGACTGTATTATGAGGAGAGAGTAAGTAGGTTTGGCCTGTACTCATTGGGATTTGGAAGAATGAGAGGTGACCTTATTAAAACATACAAGATTCTTAGTGGACTTGACAAGATAGATGCAGAGAGATTGGTTCTAGACTCTTCCACAAGTAGAAACAGAGGGCATATTCTCAGAATAAGGAGTTATCCATTTAAGACAGAGAAAAGCAAGATTCTCTTCTGAAGGTGGTCAATCTGTGGAATTCTTTACCACAAACAGCTGTCCAGTCTTAGTCATTAAGTATATTCAAAACTGAGTCAGACAGATTTTTAGTTAGTAAGGGATCAAGGATTATGGGGAAAAGACATGAAAATGGATTTAAGGATATCAGATTAGCCGTGAATGCCCTGAATGGCAGAGCAGACTCAATGGGCTGAATGGCTTGTTTCTGCTCTTGTTTTTTTTTGTCTTTCTTACAGATGCAAAATAATCTTAAACTGTGGTACATTGCAGCTACCTTTCTCCAAGGTTGTACTTACCCAGTGTCTACATAATGTTAAATGATCTGACAATTAGAAAATGCCATGGTTTCTCACTTTCACTTGACCTCTAACAGAAGCAGAAGAGGTATTAACTGAATCTCTTGATAATCTATTCAGACAGCTTTGGACTCTGAGAAGCATGAGTCATTTGAGCACTGGGGTCTGTGTAGAGAAGAATCATGCCCAGAGTTGGTCCATCATAGGTTTGCAAAGCAACAAGGTGCTAATGAAGAAGAGCCGTGGTTAAATAGAGATCACTGGTTCTTCAAAACTTCTCTCTAAAATGAACTTCAGCTGGTTCACTGTCCTAAGAACAATGTACGTGCACAACCACAATCTGATCTTCATTCACTATTTCTTGCATCACAACCTTTACAGAGGCATCAATATTATCACAGAAAGTAATTGGCCAGCATGCTGCTTACTGATGAAGAACATAAGAACTCTGAGCAGAAGTAGGCCTTTTAGCCCCTTGGGGTTACTCCACCATGTGATATGATCACGGCTGATCTTATCTTGGCCTCACCTCCACTTCCCACCCACGTTCTATAACCCTTCAACCCAGTGTTCGTTAAAAATCTGTCTCCTCCTTGAATTTGCTCAAAGGTCCCTGCATCCACTACACTCAAGGGTACTAAATTTCACAGATTCGTGACCCTTTGAAAGAAGTAATTTCTCCTCATCTCTGTTTTAAATCTGCCACCCATATCCTAAAACTATGACCTCTCGTTCTAGATTGTCCCCGATGAGGAAACATCCTTCCGACATATAGGTTGTCAATCACCTTTAACATGTTGTATGCCTCAATTCAATATCCTCTCATTCCCTTATACTTCAGCCAATATAGGTCTAAACTGCTCAATCGATCTTCCTAAGACAAACACCTAATGTCTGAAATCAATCTATGGCCCTGCTCTGAATTGCCTCCAATACAATTACATCCCTCATCAAGAAATGGGACTAAAATTGTCCACAGAACTCCAGGTGCAGCCTCACTAATGCCTTGTACAGTAGCAGCAACACTTCCCTAACTTTTATACTCTACAAGAGCATAAGTTGATGCTTGGATTGTTGTCAGTTAGTGTGTTGATTTTGCTAAGGTTGTAGCTGCTTTAATTGGCCTTGAATTAGAGAGAGGGAAAAGTGAGTCTTTTGTTTTCCAGTAAGTGAACATGCTTTTGTTTATTGATTTGAGGTCTATATCGGGTCTGTATGTGAAACCCTGAAGGTCAAATAACCATCCCATGGTTATGGTCTAGATTCAAACCCAGCAAGAACGTACACTTCATATAAATCATAAAATGAAATAGCAGGAAGTCATTTGGCCCATCAAGGCAATGTTGACATGTTGTACTCTGGCAAGGAGATCAATGACATTGAGCCTATACCTTACTACAAGTTAGGACCTTTCCCAGAGAGTGGAGGCTAAGCAGGAGAACAGCAAAAACTTCAGAAATTTTCACTGATGGTGATGTCCAGGTAATTTGGTGTCATTTTGTTAAACAGTTTTTGAGCATTCCTGTTTAAAGCAGTTCTCCTTTTTTCATTCTTTGGAAAGATTGTGTTCATTAACAACAACTTATGTCTTTAAACTTCCTTCTTTGTATCTAGAAAAGAAGAAAGAAAGACAGGAGCAATTTCAGCACATTGTCCCACTTACTACAACACATCAGCTGTCAAAGCTGAACTAATAAATAAAGTAAAGGACATGCAGAGAAATTCTACAGAAGAGGAGGAAGTTGAAGAACCAGATATCAACGAGAAGAAGGTACCTGCCGTTACAAATCTTCACTGAAAGCAAAACCTGGCAACTTAACCCCTCCCAATGCTACATCAACTAAAAGTTCTAATCCAGCCTAAAACAAACCAGTAGGGACCAAGAGGCCGTCAGGTTTGAGTGCTGATCTGCCCTCAGTTAGCTCATCACTCACTTGGTGGCAGATGACAACTAGCCTTAGAGCCTTTGTAATCCCTGTTGGATCACTGCAACGTTTCAGTTAAATCATCTGCAAGACTCTGTTCGTAGGCTGTAACATGAAGAATGTCTGTGTCTTCAAGGGTGACTATTGTATTTGACTATTCCGAGTTTCTGATTTACAGAAGAACAAATTAGTCAGCCAGTTGCATTACAGCTAAGTATCTCATTTCCCCTTTGAAATGCCTCGTTGATTTTTTTTTTTGGAAAAGTTGTACAGTGCAGAAAAATTACTTGTGGTTGTGTGGGGTGGTGGTGGGGAGCACCACGTGTACAAACATTAATTGATTGAATCAAGATCATTTGCACCAGTATGCAAGATATTAACGTTATCTGGTAAATGTGCATTTGTGCCACACAAATGGCAGGCAATGACCACCTCCAATAAGAGACAACCTAATCACCGTCCCTTGACATTCAATGACATTACCAAGCTGAATCCTCCATTATCAACATCCTTGGAGTTACCATTGATCAGAAACTCAACTAGACTCACCATATAAATATAGTTGCTACAAGAGCAGGTCAGAAAATACAAGAAATACTGCTGTGAGTAACTCAACTCCTGACTCCTCAAAGCCTGTCCACCATCTACAAGGCACAAGTCAGGAGTATGATGGAATACTCCCCACTTTCCTGGATGAGCGCAGCCCCAACAATACTCGAGAAGCTTGGCACCATCAGGACAAAGCAGCCCGCTTGATTGGCACTACATCTGCAAGCATTCACTCCCTCCTCCACCACCGACACTCGGTAGCAGCAGTGTGTGCTATCTATAAAATGCACTGCAGAAATTCACCAAAGATCCTTGGACAGCACCTTCCAAATACAAGACCACTTCCATCGCGAAGGGCAAGGGCAGCGGGTATGTGGGAACACCACCACATTCAAACTCCCCTCCAAGCCACTCACCAAACTGACTTGGAAATATATGGCTGTTCCTTCACTGTCACTGGGTCAAAATTCTGGAATTGCCTCCTTAAGGGCATTGTGGGTCAACCTACAGCAGGTGGACTGCAGTGGTCAAGAAGGCAGCTCACCACCACCTTCTCAAGGGCAACTAGGGACGGGCAAGAAATGCTGGTCCAGCCAGCAACCCCCAAGTCCATCAAATGAATAAAAAAAATGAGATTCCAGTTTACAATGGTTGAAGACCCTGTATCTTGGGCTTTCCACAGACAACTGTGGAGTTGTCAGAACCTTTCAACATTCACTGTGACAGATCTTTTGGACAGTTTTCATTGAAGCTGCAGAAAGTAGAGCAGCACAGTGGCTGCATGGTTAGTACTGCTACCTCACAACGCCTGGGACCCACTGTTGATTCCAGCCTTGGGTGACTGCCTGTGTGGAGTTTGCATGGGATTCCTCTGGGTGCTCTGGTTTCCTCCTATGGTCCAAAGATGTGCAGGTTGGGTGGCAAAACCAGTATAAAGTCCTGTGCTATTTATTGTGCCTCTGGTGAACAGTAAACCAAATAGTTAATGAGTAAAAGTACTCAGAATTAGTTACTGCCTTAAACATTCAACAAATTTTTGTTGTTTCTGACATTTTTGTCACTCATGTATCGCTATTCTTTCTCTCTCTTTCTTTGTAGTCTGAGCTAATTGAAAGCATAACATGCAAACTTCAGACACTACGGAAAGCCAAGGAGAGCCTAGCAGCTGACATTAAATTGAACAGTGCTCTGGGTGAAGAAGTGGAGACCATGATTAAAGGGCTGTGCAAGTCAAATGAGTATGAGAAGTACAAGATGTTCATTGGAGATTTGGATAAGGTTGTTAACTTGCTGCTTTCCCTGTCTGGCCGTTTAGCTCGTGTGGAAAATGTCCTGAAGACTCTCGATGAAAATGCAAATACTGAGGAACGTGTACGTAATCTGTTGTTTTTAACTTGTTTTCGTATTAAGATAATCATCAAATTCACTCAACAAAGGGGGATTATTAGTTCCTATAATTTGTAAGGTGTAAAGTGCAAAGAAAATAAATATTTCTGTTTCAGGGTAGTCAATAGAATGACTCGTGTAGCCTTCAATAAAAGGAAAGGGTTTGTTTCATGGACTGGTAGTAAGTGCAGTATGTATTACAGCACTGGATCATGATAACCACAAAGTACCATATGTGTTTCTCAATTTCAAGTTGGATGCAGCTTTGAATGTACTGTTTAATCTTTTCTCATAGGTAAGCCTAAGTCTTAAATGTCAGCATACTGTTGAACCTCTTGGGGAGGGCATATGTAACTAGACCAAATACAATCCTGTTCTCAGCCTGTTTTGGCTTGACTTACTGGAATTTAATATGGTAATAGACCCCTGACTCTGTTATTTTTTCCAGCACTACCCCTGATCAGCAGCTGGGCTGAGAACTGCTAATTCAATGCTGCTTGGAGAATCAAATCCAAGTCTGTCCTAAGCACTGAGGTTCAGTAATCCCCAAGTTAATTCAAGAATTATTTTTTGTTTTTTTACAAATAAAGCTACTGGGATGTGCGAATTTCAAAATGACTGTCATTTATAAATTCAAGGGGAACCATTAGTCATCTACAGCATTGGAACCATAGTTGCATTCTAAGCTTGCAATGCAAAGGCTTCAATGCAGTTGATAATAAAGATGAGATGGAGATTGGTGGAGCAGTCAGTTTTCCTGTTTGAGTAATTTGACCTATCAATCGAGCTTGGAAATAGCAACCCAAATGCACATCCACATATGGCTGAAATGGCAAATTCAACCTGTGAAGTCAATGAGAAACGAAGAGCCAGTCCACTATTGATTTCATCTTGAAAGTCCCATTTGGATGATTGACACAAAAGGGAATGTTTCCACTTTCAACTGAAAAATGATTCAAAGTTGTGCGTCGGGGACGACTTTTGAGAGAGAAAATAATTGAAAAATATAGCAAGGGGAAGGTAACTGAGACAAATGGGGGTAAACAAAACATAATTTAGATTCCTGAGTTACTTGAACTCATCTGGGACACCAACATGTTTAATAGAGTTAGACTCAATCTCCCTAAGTTAGGGTGAAGAAAGATAACCAAATGTACTGTTCCCATTGGAAGTACATGGCTGTTGGTTAAACATAATATTGGGATTGGCTGTGATGCCCTCATGTCGTCACTGGAACCACAGCAATGCACATATTAATCAATTACTCAAGGCCAAGTAGAGAGCTAAGGATGTATATTGTAGGAAGAAAAGGGGAGGGCAGTAAAGTAAACAAGAAGGGTAAAAGGAATGGGACTAATTGCTTTCTAATTCCTTCTCAAAAAAAAATCTCTTCAAGTAACTTGGCGTTGATGTGCATTTGATATTTCAGAATCTGTTGAATGAGAAGCGGAGACTTCTGACCAGTCAGCACGAAGACGCAAAGGAACTGAAGGAGAATTTAGATCGTAGGGCACGTGTGGTCCTGGATATCCTGGAGAACTACTTGACAGAAGAGCAATTCCAAGACTACCAGCACTTTGTGAAAATGAAGGCAGCACTGCTGATGGAGCAGCGCGAGCTGGATGACAAGATCAAGCTGGGTGAGGAGCAGCTCAAATGTTTGTTGGAGAGCTTACCTGCTGACTTTGTATCACAAAGGACAGCTCATTCACTTGCCAGTCACCCAGAGCCTGACACCTCGCAAGCAAAACTTACCTCTTCACTTTAAAAGGAAAATGTAAGAGTTTTTTTTTCAAAAATTCAGGTTTTAATAGTAAATCACTCAGAAACAAGAGTGAGGAGGGATTTGTGGATGAAGAAGATGGCATGTTTAAATTGCTTTCAAAATCTGTGTATTTATGAAACAATGGCTAGCAATTTTTGGGCACAAGATGGTCCTGTGGGAGCTTATTACCAGCAAATCTGCAACAGCACAAAACTTGAAAATGCTTCTGAGGCATCTTGAGAATCTTTTCAAAAGTGATGTTAGAGATACCTTTTAAAAACCCCTTCAAAGGAGAATGGCACAACAAGAAGTCTCTGCTTGCAACTTATTTTAAAATCAAAAGAAAGCATTTTTGTAGCCTTTCCAATAACATCAGAGCGTAACTACTATTTATAATTTTGATGTGTAATTTTGATCTGTACATATGCTAACCTCTTATGGTTCCCCTTTGTTGTGTAGGGAAAATAATCTAATTTTTGTAAGAAAATAACTTTTGGAGAAAAGAAAGCAGACTATGATCACAAAATGTGATTGCAGTCTTGTGCGATTTTGTTTTTTTTATATATTGTTCATGATGAAGGACATGGGACCACCAGGAATAGAGAAAGCTGCAGTTTGGAATAAGTTTAGAATGGTACATGTTGACGATTGACTGATTTTTCCAAATTAAGTTTGGGCGATGCTCAACTTTTATGTCATGAAGTACAGTTCAAACTATCAATAATTCACTTTTCAAATGATGTTTATAAACTTCAATTTATATATATATATATATGCATTTTTGTCCAAGTTTTTGGCAATTGCGTGCGAGACATGACCCCCAGTCAGTGGGTAATCATCCTTCTTACAGCTGGTAGACCTCAATAATCACTAAAGGATATTTAGCATGGGTGACCATGTAGGAAAGCAAACATCCTTCAGTGGGCCCAATATTTATATCTCGGTTGGATTCAATTGAAAATACAATTCCAGATGACCGAAGTCTGTGGAAAAATTAGAATGTGTTTGCCACCGAAGTATTCTCCGTGAATGAAGGAAATTCATGCAAGTACACTATTATCCAAACTTACCCTTTTTCTGAGTGTTCCTGTCCCTGTGTGTGTGATGTGATGTGATGTGATTTTAAATTGTAGTATTGGAAATGCAGTTTACAGTGCAAAAGTGCACAGCTCCACCCACAGAGCTCTATTTGTGTGGTTTTGCTAATGCATTGTTTCTGTTAGTAATAAAGGGTTTTCTAACACTTGCTTTTATTCCTTTTTAAAACATTCATTTTTCATATTCTGACTTCTCAATGTATTGAGCTGTGCGTAAACCACTGTACATAATACTAACTTTCTGAACAGTAGTTGCTGGCATAAATTAAGAGTATTCATTTCTCAGCCTCCGTCAGATCTGGGTTTTAGTATTTTTTAAGCTTTGCTGTACTTGACGATATGTTGCTGTATGGATAATTGCTCGTTCTTGATTGTAATGCCAAGTATTTTTTTAATCGGAGTGTGAATTCAGCCACCACTCGCTATGGTCACAGCTTTCCATAGCCATTCTGAGTCTTTGTCCAACCAGTGATGTGAAACACACTGCATGGCTTCTCACAAATCAGCCATTTGTATGGTATGTGAAATAAATTAAAAGGAGCTTGCTGTACTTCTCACAGTCAAATGTTTTGATGAGATGTGTTTTCAAACAGAAATCATGACATTGAAGCTTGTAAACCACTTACTGCTGCAGACAATAAAGATGATGTGTGTCAGCAAATGTGTTTTATTTCTTGTGTGAATAACCCATGTCTAATAGAGCAACAATTTCATGTTAGAGCATACAAACACATTTACTTGACTTTGGCTTTCTTAATAGGTTATTTTTCTCGAAAGCAGGAAGACATAATATTCAAACGAATAATAATATTCTCCGAGCCCCACAGTCAGTTTACCGACTAGTAGGAATTAATACGGATAATGACATAATAATTCATGTACATTTGAGTATGAGAAAGGGCTGGAGATAGACCAAGTAGAAAACCTCTGGAAGGAAGCCGGGTAATATGGGAAATCTCGAAATACGTCATAGTTGACCCAACTGGAGTACTGCATCCAACTCTGAGCTCCACACGCTGGGGAGGATTTGAAGGCTTATAAAGGGTACAGAAAAGGTTTACCAGAATAACTACAGTAACGAGAAACCTTGGTTATGCATGAATGCATCTGTAAAGTGGTTGTTATCATCTTCTTAATCTTCTGCTCTTTATTCAGATTTGATCAAGGTATTTGATATCTGGGTAGATAGGGGAAATATATTCTCATTAAGGGAAGGATCAGATGCCAAACAAATAAGGAAAAAGCTTTTTATTCAGCATTTGGCTAGGATCTGGAATGCATTGCCCAAGAACGGTGTGGGGCAGGTTCTATCGTGACTTTCAAAAAAGTGAATTGGGTAATTATTTGAAGAGAAAAATTTCAATGGCTGTGGGGGAGAAAGGTAGAAGTTTGACCAGGTTTCTTTTATTCACTTGCTGGCTGCTGGGCCATCTAGTCCATTTCTAGCTAGAGAAGGTGGTAGTGAGCTGTCTTGAAACCTATGTGTTGTGCATGCAGCCATAGCACTGTCAGGAAGGGAGTTCCAGAGTTTTGACCCAGTGCCAATGAAGGAATGGCAATATAGTTCCAAACCAGGATGTTGAATGACTTGGAGGGGAACTTGCTGTTCCCACATAACTGCTGCCCTTGAACCTCTTAGGAGGTAGAAGTAGCTGGTTTGGAAGGTATTGTTTAAGAAGCTTTAGTGAATTGTTGCAGTCTATCTTGTAGATTATACATACAAGTCTTTAAAAAGGATGTCAGGGCCTTAGAGAATATTAAGAAAATTCACTAGAATGGTAGCAGAGGTGAGGGACTTCAGTCATGTGGTGAGACTCGGGAAAGTGGAGTTGCTCTTGTTAGAGCAGAGAGGTAGAGACTGCCAAATTGTAGCAGTGTACAGATTACTCTGCATTACGTGACAGATGGTGCTGGATTGTGGCAGTGTGCAGACAGTGCTGGATTATGGAAAAGTACAGATGACGTAGTAATGTGCAAGTGCACGAACAGATTTATATAGACTTTGATAAAAAGACTGTAATCTGTAAAAAGACCACAGTGCAAATCAGGTACGCAGATGTTTTCCCCTCCTCATGCATGTCCTCTGTTTCTGTCATAGCTTGCAACCTTTCAACATCATCCAGAATCCATTCTCTACTCGTCAAGGGCCAACATAGCTCAACCCCCATCCTGTTTTTACCTGATACTCTCAGATATTGATCTTTCCCTCAGCCCTCAGTGTTCACAGAACAGTGATCAGAGTTGGTGAAGTTATTTGCAACCACTTAACTGATCCATTTGGCAGGGAAATTTGGCTAACATTGCAGCACCAACACGAGATGGAATCATACTGGTCCTTTATTCAGCTCCAATTATCCATCTCATTACCATATGTAACTTCTGCTGTTGATATTCAGATTGTTTGTTTTTTTTCTTTGTTTGACATACGACATGTAGAATGATCATTGCCCTTTCTTTGGATGTTGCACTTCCTAAAACCCAGGAGACAATGTGGGGGAACATTTCCTCTTTGTATCTTACCTTGTGGGACCAAAAGTGAGCAAATATACATAGAAATTCCCCACCACCCTGCCACCTCCACCCCCATGTTATATGAGCAAACCAGCAAGTACGTCCACTGCTGTAGAGAACATAACCCACTGGGCCCTCAAACCTGCTCTGTCATTCAATAAGACATTAGCTGATCTGATCCGTATTCCTGTCTACCCATAATAGCCTTTCACCCCTGTTTATCAAAAAACTGCTTCCACTGCCTTTCAAGAAGAAAAGCCAAGAGAATGATACATTAATACATCCATTTTGTTCATATCAAGCAAATGAGCATATGTCAAAAAATTCCTCAGATTTCATGCTAGTTTCCCTTGGTAACTGTGCTGTAGAGCCAGCAATAGACAGTGGTAATGCCAAATTTAGACAATTGTGTCATTCTGGGCATTTTATTATTTTTTTGTGGGGGCAGAATCTCCACTTCTGTCTCAGACGAGAAGAAAAAACTAAGGGATGGACCTGAGATGTGGACCCATACATTGGAAGTTCCTGTGCATAACACATCAAGCCTAGTTTACCAGTGAGGGCTGGTACAGAGTGAATGGAAACGTACAAACTCCACAAGGAAAAGACGTGACCAGGAAACTGACTAACTCAAGGCCAATCTATTACTCATAGATTCGTAGAGACCTACAGCACAACAAAGACCCTTTGGCCCATCAAGTATGCACTGGTCAAAAATAACCACCTGTTCTAATCCCATTTTTATGCACTTGGCCAATTGCCTTGTATGCCTTGACACTCATCCAGGCAAGTGGGAATATTCCATTATACTCCTCACTTGAACTTAGTAGATGGCAGACAGGGTTTGGGGAGTCAGGAGGTGAGTTACTGACTGCAGTATTCCTAGCCTTTGACCTTCTCTTGTAGCTACTATATTTATACAGCTATTCCAGTTCTATTTCTGGTCTATGGTAATGCCAGGATGTTGATAGTGGGGGATTCAGCGATGATAATGCCATCGTGTGTCAAGGAGCAGTGGTTAGGTGGTTTCTTATTGGAGATGGTCATTGCCTGGCATTTGTGTGCATGAATGTTACTTGCCAGTTTTAAGGCCAAGCCTGGATATTGTTCCAGTTTTGCAGCATTTGAACAAGGACTGCTTCAGTTGTGAATGGTGCTGAACATTGTGCAATTGTTGGCGAACATTGCCACTTCCAACCTTATGATGGAGGGAAGGTCATTGATGAAGAAGCTAAAGATGGTTGGGCCTAGGACACTACCCTGAGGAACTCCTGCAGAGATGTCCAGGAACTGAGATGACTGACATCCAACAACCACAACCATCTTCCTTTGTGTCAGGTATGACTCCAATCCCAGTGTAGAGTTTTCCCTTGATTCCAGTTTTGCAACAGTTGCTTAGCCAACAACACCTGAGCTCAAAAAACAAATAAGAAAAGGTAATTGGGCATGTGGTGAGAGTTTAACCTTTAGGAGGAACATTTTCAGCTTCTCCAGTCTCTCCACAAACAATGAAGTCCTCTGTCCCCATTATGTAATTCTGTATACACTCTCCAGGGCCTTGACATCCCCTTCCTAAATTGTGGTGTCCAGAATTGTACATAATATTCCAGCTGAGACCTAACTAGAGATTCATAATGGTTTGTCAAGGTTTACCCACCTTTTCTATTCAATGCCTTTATTTACAAGGACACACATCCCATGTTCTTTCACGAGATCAATGAACATGTATATTCTAGGTTGCATTTAAAAAAACAATTTTCAAACAATGAACAACTGCAGAATTCTGAGATGCAGATAGATCTAGGTGTTCTGGTCTCAAGAAGTTAGTATAGAGCTGTAGCTGGTGAATGCAATGCCATCCATTTTTATGATAGGAATTAAACATGAAAGTTAAGATGCTATGTTTCAGTTGTACAGGGTATTGGTTAGACTATATCTCAAACACTGCGTGCAGTTTTCTCCTGACTGAAGAAAGAATGTAAGTACATTGAAGGTGGTTTGGAGAAGATTTACTCGATATTTGGAATGAGTGAGTTGTTTTATGAGGATCTGTTGGACAGACTGAATTACTTCCACTGGGATTTAGAAAAGTGAGGGATGAATTGATTGAAATTCATAAGATCCCTAATAGTCTTATCAATAGCCTTGGTGTATGTGGGAAGGGCTTTTCCTCTTGTGGGTGAAACTCAAACTGGGGGACACTCTTTTAGACTAAAGGTGGTCACCCTTTTAGAACAGAGATGAGATGAAGTTGCTCTTAAAAAGGGCTGTGCACCTTTAGAACTCCCTGCCTCAGAAAGTTGTGGAGGTTGGTTCATTGAATAGAGTTAAATAGATATTTGTTGGGTAAGGGAACTGAATGTCATTAGGGATAGAATAGAATGTGGAATTTGGAACACAAACAGATATGACATGATTTTATTGAATCTTTTTCTAGGCTTGAAGGGCTGAGTGGTCTACTTCAGTTCCAAACTCAGATGTTTGTATGTCCCTACTTTTGCACCTCCTCAAAATAGTATAATTTAGATTATACTGCCTCTTTGTTGTTCTTTCCAAAGTGCATCCTTTAATACTTATCCACATTAAACTGACATGTCTGCCTATTTCCCCAGTTTATATATGTCCTCCTGATGATTGCTTCTCTCCTGTTTATTTATTAATTATTTATTAAATTGCCAAGTTTAATATCATCTGCAAATTCCAAAACTATGGAATTGTTTACTACAGTTACTGTTTAGGGTGGCACGTTGGCTCAGTGGTTAGCATTGCTGTCTCACAGCATGAGGGTCCTGGGTTTGATGCCAGCCTCAGGCGACTGTCTGTGTGGAATTTGCACATTCTCCCTCCATCTGTGTGGGTTTTCTCCATGTGCTCTGGTTTCCTCCCACAATCCAAAGATGTGTGGGTAAGGTGGATTGGGCATGCTAAATTATCTGTAGTGTCCAGGGATGCGCAGGCTAGGTGGATTAGCCATGGTGAATGCAGGGTTGCAGGGATAGGATGGGTCTGGGTGAAATGCTCTTCAGAGGATTTGTGTAGACTTGATGGTCCGAATGGCTGCTTCCACACTGTAGGGATTCTATAATTCTGCGAACTGTGCTTCTCTAATCCAAATCCAGGCCATCTTTCTACCACTAGATGACCCCACTA